TTGATTGACATTCCACCATTTCTACCATTTTGGGACATAGCATATGATCAAGAACTGATAGTATTGAATGAAGAAGTCCAAGTTACACTGAAGGCATTGGTGAAAAACAAGCCTCCAGGAATTGATGGAATACCAGTTGAGATCTTCTATCAAACGGATGAAATGTTGGAAGTGCTGACTTGTCTGTGCAAAGAAATTTGGAAGATAGCTACCTGGCCAACCAACTGGAAGAGATCCATATTTGTGCCCATTCTAAAGAAAAGCGTTTCAACAGATTGCAGAAATTATCAAACAGTATCATTAATATCACAGGCAAGTAAAATTTTGCTGAAGATAATTCAACAATGGTTATAGCAGTGCATTGACTGGCAACTGCTAGAAATTTAAGCTGGATTCAGAAGAGGACATAGAACAAGAGATATCATTGCTGATGTCATATGGAACTTGGCTGAAAGCAGAGAATATCAGAAAGATGTTTACCTGTGTTTTATTGACTATCCAAGGCATTCAGCTATGTGGAGCATAACAAATTGTGGATAACATTGTGAAGAATGAGAACTCCAGAACACATAACTGTGCTCATGAGGAACCTGTACATAGACCAAGAAGCAGTTATTGGAACAGAACAAGGGGATACTGTATGGTTTAAAATCAGGAAACTTGTGTGTCAGGGTTGCATTCCTTTCAGTATACTTATTCAGTCTGTATGTTGAGCACATAATCCGAGAAGCTGGACTATATGAGGAAGAATGTGGCATCAGGATTGGAGGAAAACTCATTAATAACCTGCAGTATGCAGATCACACCTTGCTTGCTGAAAGTGAAGAGGACTTGAAGCACTTACTGATGAAGACCAAAGACTACAGCCTTCAGTATGGATTACACCCCAACATAAAGAAAACAAAAATCCTCACAACTGGACCAATAAGTAACATCATGATAGATGCAGAAAACATTGAAGTAGTCAAGGATTCCATTTTACTTGGATCCATAATCAATGCCCATGGAAGCAGCAGTCAAATCAAACAATATATTATATTGGGCAAGTCTGATACACAAATTCTCTTTAAAATATTAAAAAGCAAAGATGTGACTTTGAGGAGTAGGGTGTGTTAGACCCGAGCCATGGTCTTTTTAATTACTTCATATGCATGTGAAAACTGGACAATGAATAAGGAAGGCCAAAGAAGAATTGATGCCTTTGAATTATGGTGTTTGTGAAGAATATTGAATATACTATTAGGAGCTCTGGTAGCATAGTGCCTAAGGCACTTGACTGCTAACCAGAAGGCTGGCGGTTCAAACCCACCAGCCACTCCTCGGAAGGAAGGTTGGGCATTCCTACTTCTGTAGTGATACTGCCTCGGAAACCCAAGGAGGGGTCGCTATGAGTCGGGGCCGACTCGATGGCAAATAACAACAACAACAACATGGATTGCAAGAAGAATGAACAAATTTGTGTTGGAAGTACAGCCAGGATGCTTCTTAGGAGTGAGGATGGTAAGACTTCATCTATGTACTTTGGACCTGCTATCAGGAGGGACCACTTCCTGGAGAAGAACATCATGCTTGGTAAAGTAGAAGGTCAATGAAAAAGAGGAAGACCCTCAATTAGATGGGTTGACACAATGGCTGCAACAATGGGCTCAAAGATAGCAACAATTGTAAGGATGGTGCAGGACCGGACAGTATTTTGTGTAGTACATAGGGTCACTAGGAGTTGGAACCAATTTGATGGCACTTAACAAACAACACACTTCCCCCAGGACTGATGGAGGGACAGCTGCACCTCTGCTCTGAGGTCAGGTCACCCTCTCCCTCCCTTCTTCCTTAAGAGCCCCACCTTGGGCTATAGGCAGAGTACAAAGCTAGCAAGGTACCTTGCCCACCTTTCCCCAAGGGTCACTTTGGCCATTGACAGTTTGGAGGGAGGGAGAGAAATAGTGTGGGTGGTCAGCATGGCTGAGCCTTGCTATTGACCTATGCTTGCAGAGAGATCCCAACTCGACAACTTAGAATAGGTGGAGGAGCCTTTGTCCTGAAGGTTGGGGTGGTTTGGGAGATATGTGGATGATGGCATGAGATGAGCGTTTAGAGATCTTGCCCCTGGCATCTCCTGATCTGCAGCCTCACCCTCTTCAGCTTCACTGGACTCGGTCCTTTCTTTGAATCAAGGTTAAGATGCAGGGCTGCTTTCTTCTGGTGGAACTGTCCCTTTAAATCTCTAGCACGTCTCTGGGTTAGCGTCCTGGTGTGTAATGCCGCCTGCTGCCATGGCAACCAGGGGTGCAAAGCGACCTGGTGCCACTCCTCAGGGAATGACTGGCTAGTGGCAGCAACAGTGCCCTAGTGGTGGCCTCATGGGTGCAGGAGCTCAGAGGAAGGGAGGCACTAGGTTGCTGAGGTATGGAGACAGAGGGGCTTGGGCCACCCTTCCCTTTCCACAACTGTGCCACCATCCCCTGGCTGGGTGGCCAGTGAAAGGAGAGATTATGGGGCTGGAGACATTTGCCCAGTGCCACAGTGGTGCCACTGGCTCCTGACGAAAGGCTGGGATTCGTTCTTTGGCGCTTCCTTTAGCACTCTATGGCAGATGAAGGGTCATTGTAAAGGATGCAGGAGCTTGCAGTTCTCCGGTTCTGACTAAAGGCAGAACCCAGAGGGCAGAGAGCAGGTGTGCATGTGTGTGTGTGTGTGGGGGGGGGCAGCTTAGAGGTGTATTAGAGGAGGAACTTCCAGAAAAGAGGAAGGCAGCCAAATCCCTTCCCAACCTAGGGTTTCCTGCATCTGGGCTGTGAGGGGAGCATTTCTGGATACCACATCAGTCCTGAGGCAGTATCACACTTACCCCTCCCCTTCTTTCAACCCCTCTTCCCAACCCCTACTAGTAGTAGAATGAGGGAATCTGGCCACCGGTAGGACAACTATTCTTTTCCACGTGCCATGTATCCTGTCTACTGTTCCCCACCCCCCCCACCCCGTAACCTTCCCCTCACTCTCTACAGGATACCCCCACACACACACTCTTCAGCTCTAGTAGGGCCTTTGGCCAATCAGCGAGGTGGGCAGGGCGGGTGAGTTTTGCTATTGGGTAATTGTACCGAGTGAGCTCCCTAAGGCCCTCCTTCTCTAATGCTGCCTCCTCTGGCTGAGAAGGCGGCAGACCGAGTGGTGGCAGCTACTCCAGGAACCTCTAGCTGGGATGTGGGGGGTAGCCATGGCGGGCAGCCCAGGCAGCAGGGCCTCCTTGGAGGGAATATCACTGGGCTCCTCTGAGGAAGCAGAACTCCGGAGGGAAGGTAGGGAAAAGGCATGGCGGGGAGGGTGGGAGGATGCTGGGTTTGGGGTATCTGGCGGAAGCAGCATTAGGAACGGCCACTGGAGACTGAGGGCCTGGGTGGGGCAAGGTTACCAGGTCATTTGGCCTAGGTGGAGGGAACCGACTTCTCTGGCTCAGTCTTCCCCCTATGACCCACGGACTGGGGCTGTGTGTGAGGAGATGACTGGAGAGGTTGGATCTCAGGAGACCCTGGCAGAGTGGACTGAGTGCCCGCCCTGGCCTGGGTGAAAGCCCACTAAGGGCCTGGCAGGTCTCTGTCTGATGCCTAGCCCAGGTTTGGGTGGTGGTGATGGGTGGGGGTTCGGACGCTGTTTCTGGAGAAGGTGGTGAGGAGGAGAGAAAAGGGGGTGGGAGTCAAGGAGTCCTTGCACCATCTCTGTCCACTCCAGTTTCAGTGTCCCCTCCTCCCCATCCCTATACCTTCCTGGAGGAGGGGAGAAGTAATAAGAACATTGAGAGGTGCCAGGGACTATATCCACCTTCCTCCTCCATGACTTGGGTGCTGTTACGCAGATGGGGGCGTGGGTGGTAGGGTGGCAGGGTAATGATACCCCTGCCCATCTCAGCTCCCAGCTGGGCACGCTTTGCTTTTCCCTTCCTTCCCCTGGAACCTGCTCCAGCCTGGAGCCCCCCCCCCCCCGTTTTGCCAGTGCATGAAGGCAGCCCCCCATCTCAGATCTTTGTAGTCTATCCTGTGGCCCAGTTTCAGGTGCTCTCATGTCCGTGGTTATGCCCTGTCCTAGGTTGAGGGTTTGCTGATGTCTGGCCTAAAGGCATTTATTTGACTGCTAACCAGAAGGTTGAGGGTTCAAACCCACCAGCCACTCTGTGGAAGGTTGATGGGGCAATCTACCTCTGTAAAGATTTACTGCCTTGGAAATCCAATGTGGGTTGCTATGAGTCAGAGCTGACTCAATGGCAGTGGGTTTGCTTTGATTTTTGGGGGGACTGATTTGGTCTGACTTCTGCCCTTGAATGCCCATAGTCACCCGAGGTCCCAGGATGCCTGTTTCCCCAGTTCCTGCCAGTGTTCTGGGCCTTAGAAGCTTTGGCTTCTGATCATCCATGTTAATTTCTCAATGATTATTGATCATTTTTTCTGTCAGCATTCAAGGGTTTGTAGACTCCATCTGGTCCAAGCTACCCATTGTACTGGAAGGAAAGACTGAGGTCAGTGAGGGATGATACACGTGCAAAGCTACACTGAGTTAGTGGTGCAGCTGGCAGTGGATGTCATGCAGGCCTGGCTTCCCACAGGACTCCTGCTTGACTTTCGACCTGCACTCAGTGACATGCTCCAAGCACTGTCTCTCCCATCCCTGAGCCCCACCAGATGCAGGTGACTGAGTCCCAGCCTTGACTCATCAAGAGGCTGAGCAAGGAGCTTGCAGTTCTCTGGTTCTGGCTAAAGGCAGAACCCAGAACCTGACACCTGCTTCCTCTTTTCCCCTCCCCCAACTCAGAGTCCACTTCCTGCTGCCTGGAGCTCCTACCCGCCCAGGCTGGCATTACCTAGGGTGGTCAGGAGGGAGGGACTTCTGGGAGGGGCTGTCTTCTGTTGTGACAAAGGGCAGAGCCAGGGCATGTGGCATGTATAGGTCTCCTGGCTGCTGAACCCAGCTGGTAGCTGTGTGTCTCACTGTCTACTTCTTCCCCTCAGCCATGCAGCAAGTCCTGGACAACCTGGGATCCCTCCCCAATGCCACAGGGGCTGCGGAGCTGGACCTGATCTTTCTTCGAGGCATTATGGAAAGTCCCATAGTGAGATCCCTGGCCAAGGTACAGCACTTCAAGAAGTAGGCACATGGGTAATGGGTCTGGGGAGGTACAGTGTGTGTGTCGGGTAGCCACAGGGGTCCTAGGAATGGGGCAGGTGGCATGGGAGACTCTGTGTGTGTGTGTGTGTGTGTGTGTATACAGACTTGAATGAACATCCATGCCCAGGTGATGAATCTGAGGGACTACAGAGACAAAGGGTTGTCTGTACCCCTGGTCTGGTGAGTTGTGTGGACATGGCCTGTGGATGGGTGTTTGATGTACTGGCTCGTGGAGGCTGTAATTAGGAGAACATACCTGTGTGTTGGAAGCTCCAGGGTTCCTCCTGTGCATCCTGCTGCTTTTGGGCCTTTTGTACAGACATCTTTTTTTAAAAAAATATTGTAGTAAAAGACATAAATATGCTATTTTAACCATTTTTAAGTATACATTGCAGTGACATTAAGTACATTCATAGTGCTGTGTAACCATCACCACTATTTCCAAAAGTTTTTCATCACCTCATACTCTGTATCAATAAGCAATAGCTCCTCCTTCCCAGCCCCTGGTACTTTTCGTCTCTATGGATTTGCCTAACCAACCAACCAACCAACTCACTGCTGTCGAGGTGCGTCCGACTCATAGCGACCCCTCCTTGGGTTTCTGAGGTGGTGTCTCTATGGAAGTAGATTGCCCAATTTTCTTTCTGAATGGATTTGCCTACTCTAGCTATTTCATGGAAATGGAGTCATTCAATATTTATCCTTTTGTGTCTGGCTTCTTTCACTTTGCATGCTATTTCAGGGTTCACTCATGTTGTAGAATGGATCAGAAGTTCTTTTTTAATTTTTTTTTATTCATGGCTGAATAATAGTCCATTCTATGGATATACAGGCATATTTCAGAGATATCATAGGCTTGGGTCCAGACCACTGCAGTAAAGTAAATATTGCGATAAAGTGAGTCGCACAGATCTTTTGGTTTCTGAGTGCAGATAAAAGCTATGTTTGCATTATACTGTTGTCTATTAAAAGAGCTCTGGTGGCGCAGTGTCTAAGGCATTTGACTGCTAACCAGAAGGTTGGTGGTTCAAACCCATCAAGCCACTCCGCAGAAGGAAGACTGGACAATCTACTTCTGTAAAGATTTACTGCCTCGGAAACCCAAAGGGGGTCACTGTGAGTCAGAATCAACTCAGTGGCAATGTGTTTGGTTTTTTTAGTTTGGTAGTCTACTAAGTGTGCAATAGCAGTGTGAACAGTTTAAAATATTGTAAGAATTACTCACATATGACACAGAAACACTAAGTAAGCACTTGCTGTTGGAAAAATGGCGCTGATAGGCTTGCTTGATGCAGGGTTGCTACGGACTTTCAATTTGTAAAAAATGCAATGTCTGCAAAGAGCAGTAAGGTGAAGCACAATAAAAAGAGGTCTGTCTGTCCCCACAATTCCTTTATCCATTCACCCCTATTCATGGACATTTGGGCTGGTTCCACCTTTTGGCTATTGTGAATAATGCTGTAGTGAACACTGGTGTACAAGGATCTGCTTGGATCCCTGTTTTCAGTCTTTACCTAGGAGTGGAATTGCTGGGTTATTTATATGGTAATTATCTGTTTTTGAGGAAACCAAACGGTTTTCCACAGCTGTTGCACCATTTTACATTCCCACCAGCATCGCAGGAGGGTTCTAATTTCTCCACAGCCTTGCCAATACTTGTTATTTTCAATTTTGATAATAGCCATCCTAGTGGGTGTGAAGTGGTATCTCATTGTGGTTTTGATTTGCATTTCCCTAATGACTAATGAAGTTGAACATCTTTCCATGTGCTCATTGGCCATCTGTGTATCTTCTTTAGAGTCCTTTGCCCATTTTTTAAATCGGTTTGTCTTGTTTGTGAAGACCTCTTTTTAAGGTATCTGCCACACTTCAGATGGGGAGAGATTCACTAAAACACAATATAAAACAAAGTGGCAATGATAGAGCCAGGCATGCTAGCAGCAGGGGCCTAACACAGCCTGGGGTGGGTAGAGAAAGCTTCCTGGAGCAAGGGCCACTGGAGCTGAATCTTGAAGAATGAGGAGGAGGGGAAGGGCATCTGGCACTGGAAGAGCTTGAGGAGAAACACAGAGGTGAGAAAGAGCCAGAAGTATCAGGGACTGTAAGTGTTCAGTGTGAGGGTGCAGCGTCAGGTGCAAGACAGGAGTGAAGGCTGGGGGGATGTTCCAGATCACTGGGGACCCTGAGACAGCCATGTTGGGGGATTTTGACTGTAGTCCTGTGTACACTGCAGAGCCTTTTGTGGCTTTTAAGTGGGGGTGTGATGACAGCAGATGAGTGGCAGCCATGTGGAAGACACTTGGAGTGTTGCAGTTGGAGTGTTGCAGGCTGAAGGATTGCACCTGGAGTTGGAGAGACAGTTGGGGGCTGTGTGGTAGTTCAGTCAGGGATACTGAGAGCCTGAATTGGAGCTGTGGTAACAACGCTTAAAGGGAGGGAGGGAGGGGAGATGGAAAAAAATATTTAGGAGGTTAATTGGCAGAACTTGGTGTTTGGGCATGGAAGCGGGGAGGTAGCAAGGCACCTTGGATTCTGCCTGGGGGAAGTGTGATATGGTGTAACCATCAACTGAGAGTGCAAGCAGTGGAGGGGCTTGAGGAAGGACATCTCCTCTGCTGAGGGGAAGTCCAGGAGGTGAACATGGTGCAGGTGGCTATGTGAGAGGCAAGGCTGGGAATCTCGGGAAGTCAGGCCTCCTTAACAGTGCTTCTCAGTAAAGGTGGTGGGAATCAAGGGTGGCATTGAGCATGGGGATTCAGAAATGAAGGTGTGGCTAGTCAGTCACTGAAGGGGAGGATGAGAGGGAACTGACCAAAGCTAAGGACCAGGAACCAGGACTGCCCATGTCAAGACCCAGTTTCCTGGAGTGGGAGATGACTCATTCTAGAGACACCAAAATAGCGGGAGGGCTTTGGTCCAGAGTGTGTGCCGGGTAGGGCTGTGGTGAGGTACAGTGAGGGAGGCTTGTGAGAGTAGCTCAGTGTATTACCTCTGCGGCCCTGGCTAGAGGAAAGAGGAAGGGGGCAGGAGGAGACCGAGAGGCAGGGAGAACATAGAGGAGAAGGTATGGAGGCCGTGGTCAGAGAGAGGGAGGTGGGAGATAAACGGTTTCCAAGGAGAAACAGTTCTCGGGGACAGACAACACAGCAGCAGTCCAGAGGGTGGTTGCAGTGGAAGGCTCATTGGTGTCCCAGAATGGAGGACTCTGGTGTGGGGTGGATGTCTATTCAGATGTTGGAATCTAGGGTCATGGCAGGGGTTGGGATGGAGAGAAGACTGAAGTAGTTTCCGTAGTCATCAGTGAATGTTGGAGAGAGACGAGAAAGTCAGCAAATGATAGTGATGGTAAGGGAAATGGTGGTACAAAAGGTAGTAGGAGCTTCCAAGGTTATCTACAGGGTTGGGATGGGGAAGGCCTCACAGGGAGGCTGAAGCCCTGGCCTGGGGCTTGGGGGAGGCCATACTGTAAGGAGAGAGCTGATGCATGGGCAAGGCATCCCTGGGATGCAGCCAGGTCACATACCATCTGTGAAATGGTTGAGGACCTGGGGAGGTTGCTAACAACAGAAGATGAAAGGTCTGAGAGGGTTAGTAGTGGGTGGTTAAAGGAAGAGGAGACTGAACAGATTGAAGGAGACTGGGGAGAGGCACGTTGCTTTTCATCAGTGATCAAGGGCAGTACTCATTGATGAGAGAAAAAATACAAGGAATCACACTCATTTCACACATGGAGAACGTGAGCTCCATGAAGGCAGGGATTTCTGGCTCAGTGCTCTATTCCCAGAGCCCAGAACAGTGCCTGGCACACGGTAGGTGCTCCCTGAACATTTGCTGAGTAAATGGCTACAAAACAGTGTGAAAAACACCAAACCTCTGCATCCCCATCTCTAAGCTGTTGATGCTGGCCACATTGGCTTTAGCTCTTCCTCATTCTTTCCAAGAAATAAAAAATAGAGATAGAGCAAAAGCCCTCCACCTTCCTCACTTCCGCTGTTCTTTCCACCTTCCTACGTCCTCATTCCACCTCCACGCTAGTCACCATTGGCTTGACATTGATGATGTCACTTCACTGAATGTTAGTGTGCCTTGACTGCATGTGTGCTTAGCTGTAACCAGTATACTCATGGTATATGTGGGTTTTTTAATATATAAATGGAGTTATACTATCACCTGTTCATGCTTTTGAGATTTCTAGTGAATACAAAAAGCGTAGTTGTTGACATAAGGAGATCCAGGTAGGAAGATGTTCATTGGCAGTGTTTGAGATATTTCGACACAGGACTGGAGCCTGCTTGATTTATTGGCTCCCCTCTGAGCAACAGCTGTGTTGTTGCTGATTTTCTTTACTGAGAACAGCACTGCAGACCGTCCTCAGCAGCATCAGCTTCTGCACAGGTGTAAGCGTTTCTCTAGGGGGGGACACTTGGCAAAGGAATTGTCGAATGTGCGCATTTTCAGCCTTACTAAACTCAAACCAAACCCATTGCTGTGGAGTTATTCTGACTCATAGTGACCCTGTAGGATAGAGTGAAACTGCCCACATGGGGTTTTCAAGACTGTAAATCTTTACGAAAGCAGACTGTCACATCTTTCTCCAGCTGAGTGCCTGGTGGGTTCCAATCGTTAAACTTTTGGTTAACAGCCGAGCACTTCACCACTGTGCTCCCAGGGTTCCTTTCAGCCTCATATTGTCAAATTGCTCTGTTACTCTCACCAGTGTTGAATGAGTCCCCAACACTTGATACTTGCAGATTAAGGATTTGTTAGTAGATTTTATTTATTTTTAAAATTTTTATTGTGATTTTGGGGAAAGTTTACAGAGCAAATTCATTTGCCATACAGCAGTTATACACATTTTGTTCATGACATGGACTGCAATCCGCACAGTGTAACAGCTGTCTTCCCACTTCATCCCTGTAGTTACCCCTTCCCTGTGTCCTTCCCTCCCACGTGCTTCTGCCC